TGTTATCACCATCCAGCCATGAAGTATAATTGGCAGTATTCAAAAACTAAGTACTTATTATTTCTGAAATCAAAGTAAATTTCCTATTTTTGTTAACAATATCATTATATGGGGAAATACTCTCAATATATTATGTGAAAAAAAGGACCAACCAAAGATATGGCCATATTAGCATTTTACAAGTAACACTCTTGACTTATTTGTTAGTAACGGAATGAGTTGAGTTTTTCTTTTGTCGCGACTTTCTATACTTTTATGTTTCCAACACTGAACATGTACAATTAAGAAACATGATCGGGGCCTCCCTGGTGGCGCAAGGGGTTAAGACGCAGCCTATGAAGCTGTCCGCAGCCTCTGCAGCACGAGTTTGATCCCTACCCCCAGCCAGCCAGGGAGCAAACCACATGGCACAACAGACCTCCCCTGCCTCACCTGCTACTCCCCTCAGCAGTGTACTTCAGTCAATCTGCCTGTTCTGTTCCCCACTCTGTCTCTGGTGAATCCTCTTACTCCCTACACCTCTGGCCTGTACCCAAGCTCTTGTATGCATAAATAAATAAATCTTTTTTAAAAAAAACAGGGCCTCTCCGGTGGCACAGCAGTTAAGCGCTGGGTTGTGAAGTTGCATGCAGCCTCTGCAGCGCCGGTTCAATCCCCGGCCGCTGGGCGAGGGTCCCACATGGCGCGCAGACCTCTCCTGCCGTGCCCGCTGCTCCCCTCAGCAGTGCATTAGGTCAGTCTGCCTGTTCTGCTCCCTGCTGTGGCTCTGGTGAATTCTCTCACCCTCCCATGCTTCTGACTGTACCCAGTGCTTGTGTAAATAAATAAATAAATCTTTGAAAAAAAAAAAAAGAAAGAAACATGATCATGCTTATTAAAGCCAGTGTCACAGGCCATGATTACCTTCCACAGTAACCTTGTTCTCACCTCCTTCCATATGCACTCCCACAGGAACTAGTAAAATGGCCTCCCTCTACTGTTCTGCTCTGGACAGAGGTCATATCATGTTCCCAGTGTCTAGGAAAATCAACTAAGGCAAAACAAGTGACTTTCCCTAAAGTGGAATCATAGATACATGGCGGAAGAGCTTGTCTTGTGCCAAACCATATTCTGAATTTGTTGAGTAAAAAGCTTTGCTTGGTTTTTGTGCAGATCAAGCTCCAATTGTAAAACTGAATAGCTCCCTTTTCAACCAGTCGATTCAGCCCCCTCAACTATTAACTTCAAATCCCAAAACTCCTTGGGCTCCTTAGACTGAAGGTCATGGAGCTCTCTTAAGGAGCATCTCTGTGGATGGTGGTGTTATGACCAAGGAATGTGTCAGGGGCAATGAGGAATCAGTCCCACATAAACCCTATAGAGGAGGCTCTTAATATAGACATGCAAAGCAGTGTGGAAAGATGTTGAACAGGCAAAAATAGATACTCATTACAGAGTAAAACGGAAATGCTTTTTACGTATAATGGTGTGAGGTTGTAATATGAAATTCTCTTGATATTTCTATTGAATCCTGTGCATTGAAATCCGGTCATGATACTGGGACAAATACATTGAATTTTCTTTAGCAATGGTAATGAAGTAACCACAGTAGAGACTAGGGTCAGCTCTGTGCAAGGGGCCCTGGTTCCAGTCCACATTTAGGTTTTCTATAGGATACTTCCTGTAAGTTCATGCTTTACCTTACAGTCATGGAGCTGAGCTGCTAAAGGGGCAGGTATAGATAGCAAATGAGGAACAAATAACCATCAAAATGTGATTTTAGTGACCCTTAGAGCTCTTTCATGATGTTGTGTTGGCTCACAAGAGCAAAGTGACAATAAGGTTTCAGACTCTCCTCAAATGTCATTTAAATCTCATTAGGTAGACCTTTGTCAAATGAGGACACCAGCAGTAATGATTTCTTTTTAATCTTGTGATCATTTTGACCACTGCAAGAGTTATAGTCCCCAGGAGCACATTGGCATTTGGTTGATAGATGTTAGTAGGAACTGTCGGGGATCGGTAGAAATTGTAAGGCTCTTTTTTCCCCTTCATACAAGTCAATTTTGATAGTAGTTAATTATGCCAGATTATTTTTTTTTCTCACTGGGTGGTAAACAAGTCTGTTTTGTCCTCAAATTGATATAACAATGTTTTGGGACTACCAGTGGTGGGACTGGGAAGTGCTCGTTTAGTAGACATTTTAGAAATAGGATGATAAATTGGGAATAGGCAGTAATGGGGAGGAGCCATTCACCATGCTGGGATTTGTTATTTTTGGCTTCTTCTGATTTGTTATTATATACTATCTGTAGTTTTAGTCATCATTTGAACTGAGACTTAAAAGCTAAATACCTACTCATTTCAAAAATCAGCTGATTTGAGAGTTTGATTTAGCCAGATTCTGGTTAAGAATTGATTATTTGTTTACCTGTAGATAGGATTTCAGTTTGTTATCTGTGTTGCCCTTGTAAATAAATGAAATGAAGTTGTCCAGAAAGCCTTTTAAGTCAAATCTCCCAAGCTAGTCTGAGCCCTATTCCACTGCCCAACAAGAGTCTTCCATTCTGAAAGGTGCTACCTTCCTCTGCCCCAACTCCTAACCCTTTCTGTTCTCTTGTCCAAGCCCTTGCTTTCCACAGGTCCAACACTTTTTATAAGCATCTTTCCACTCTCCTGTGAACTCTCTATGTTGTAAATTCCCTGCCTTCCAGGTCTCCTCCATTTGTTCTTTATGGTCCATCTCTCAGGAGCGCTCCTGCTTACTATTACATTTCAACAGTAGTAATAGTAAGAATGTAGGAAACTGCATGCTGTTCATGTGTTCCAATAGAAAAACAGAATTCTGTGCTTCTTGCTAACTCATAATTCAGTTTACAGCCTGTCTAGAAATTATATTCTCTCATGACTGACTATGGTATTATTTTGAAGTAAAAGGTAAACCCCAAGTCTGAAAGTTTCTAAAGCAACAGCTTATCTACAACTCAATATAACTCACCACACTGACAACATGTTATAATCAGAATGTGCCTTTCCTACTTCCCCTGAAGTACATTTGTGGTTATCATAGTGGAAAGCTTTGCCTCAGACTCTCAAGTGAGTTCTAAATAGAACTCTTGAAACTTAGAATAACTGCCTTTTGTATCCTCCAAAGGGAAAGCTCAAGTTAGCCCATTCAGTGCCATTCAGCTGAAGGCCTTCACTTGTAGATCTCAGAGATACCCACCTGATAGAAATATTTCCCAAAGCCTTTATTTCCAGGTAGTTCTGAATGATATGTACATGACAGGCAAGAGTACATATTAGGTCAGTGCAGATAGCAACTAGGCTTAAAAAAAATATCCTCACAGCAGAGAAAAAGCTCAATACCCGGAAACTCTCAAGCCCAGAAATGACAGTGGGTTAGAGGATGCCATAAAAAGCAAGTACTACAGGAGGGGACCACCCCAGTCTCTGTGTCCTTGAATTTGAATCTCATTCCATATCAAACATGATCAGTGGGATGAGGGTGTAGGTTTTAGGGGCCTGTGTAAAATCTGGTCTTTTTTGTTTTAAAGATTTATTTATGTATACAAGAGCTGGGGTGCAGGCCAGAGGTATAGGGTGTGAGAGGATTCACCAGAGACAGAGTGGGAAGAGAGCAGGCAAACTGATGAAATACACTGCTGAGCGGAGCAGCAGACAAGACAGGAGAGGTCTGCCTCACCATGTGGGTTGCTCCCCAGCTGTCCGGGGATCGAATTCATGCTACTGAGGCTGCAGATTGCTTCATAGTACGGTGCTTTAACCCTTGCGCCACCAGGGAGGCCCTCCAAATCTGGTCTTTGGTTTATTTTTCTAACTTATACCAGAATCTGTATCACATTAAACATTATGCTGCACACCCATTGAACTGCCAACATAGATGAACAGTCGCAGGTCCACAGCTGATGTTAGTGTAAAGTGCAGTGGTCTTAAGAACACCCTGTTCTCTCCGGCTTGGTTATGGGGGAAAGCAAATGTCAGAGTAAATGGAAATACAATGCCCTGCCCAGGCACCATCCCAACAGCAGAGGACGGGCCCTGGTTGAGATCTGTTAAAATCAGCTGTTCAGTTTTGTTTGGAGAAACTGGACTTTTGACAGATGAGTTTATTTTCCCTTGTATTCAAATGTATCTATCAGATCTGTGGTTGGGAAATGATCCAGGATTTACAAGGTCAAAAAGTGACCTGGTTCACACACTGTAGACTCTGCCCATCTCACTCCACAGCTTCTCCAGGCAGGTGATCCTGTGTGCTGTTTGTATGTCCACACCAAAAATGGTCACCCAAAGGACAGATAAGCCTCCTGGGATTGACCCTTAGAGATTCTAGAAGCCTCCTAAAACTTACGTCACAATTCTGGATCACCAGCTTTGCTTTTCCATGCTGCAACTCTGCAGCTTGAAATCATTCTTATGTGTTTGATGAATGAACCTCGGGTTATAGGGCATTGGGAATTAAAGCCATTAATAACATCAGAGAATGTATGGATCTTTGTAATACCCTTCTTCATGAAAAAAATACATTTGCATAGACTCCAGTTGTATTCTTTCTTTTATTATCCCAAGAGTGGAAAAGTAAAGGACTGTAGAATAAATATTCTTAGTCTTATCTTTAAAAGTTAAGAAAAAAATTGGAAAAAAATCAAGAAGTATTTTCTTCTTCTCCGTAGCCCCCTTGGTTCCCTGGTGTATAAATAAGACCTTTTTCCCTGCCTGAAACTCAGCCTTTGTGTTCAGTAATCTGTGGTTTTGTTATTATCCAAATACTTATGGATCAACATTTGAAGATAATTTTAGTAGACACATAACAAGTACCTTTGTGATACCTGCTCATTTTACACCCATTTCTGGGGAGCCTACTTAATACAGACTTACCTGAGAACAATTTTGCTTTGTAATGACTTGCACAATGCTCACCAGTTTCTCCTTGATTAAGAAGATAGAATTCCAGTGTGTGGCTGGTAGACTCACGCATTTCCCTTTCTTGTGTTTTTCAGAGATTGAGGCAAAGGAAGCATGTGACTGGCTCCGCGCTGCTGGGTTCCCGCAATACGCTCAGTTATATGAGGGTAGGTTGGCCACCCCTTCACTCTTCATAAAGGGAATGAATTCAAAATGAACTGTATATATCCTGTGGTGTCTTTTGATTGCCAAGTTTTTTCTCGACCACTTTTCTTCACTCTCTTTTTCTCTTGGCCTTTACAACGCCTGAGGGTTAGGCTCAGACCACTTTAGAGATGAGTATTGCGTCCCTATTTTACTTTCTGCATCTCACAGTTTCTCATTTCAAATTTCTTTGCTTTCTGCTTCACTTTTTCCAAGTCTCCTCTCTTTACCCATCCTAACTCCCTTTTCTCCCAGTACTCTGCCATCAGCGGTTTTTCCATATTTTTCTCTTGTTCTTTTTTCTTGTTTTTTTCCTCACTACTCTTGGTTTTCTTGAAAATACAATAAATCAGTTATTGGTAAATTTCATGGAAATTATGAAACCTAATTGTCTTGAGACTTTACTTTTTAGTTCTGTTTATATGAAAAACATAAGTTATAATATGATTCATGTCACTTTCCTAGGTAAAGTGCTTCTTAATGACATCATTCTTCCTTCTATTGACATTTTAGTTGATAGTTAAACTTACACACCTCTATCTTACTTATACCTGAAATTATAACCAAAACACCTCACTATTTTTTATATATAGTGAATTAGTCAGGACTCCAACAGTAGTAAACACATGGAAGACAGAGGATTTACTTCTAAAATTGTTCATTACAAAGCTGTGGAAGCCACAGGAATAGTACAGAATCCGGAATTTGTAGCAACAAAGCTGTCACCTACAGCCCAGAGGCAGAGGAGAGGGTCCAACCCAGGAGGAAACAAGCTCCTTAGCGTAGATCCTAGAGAAGAGGACACAGCTGACAATGGGCAGCCTCCCTTGGAGAGAACCACAGGACAGACACCCTCACTCAAGCCCCTTCTTCCTCCATCTGTCTCTAGCAAGGGCTTCCCACTGACCAAACACAAAAGGAAGCTAGAAGATATGGGACCCTTGAATGCCTTTCACACTGGGGATCCTAAGGCACAAAGCAGGGTACAGAGAAATGGAGAGTGGACCTGTAGAGTTAACCAGAGGATATCTTGCACACCAGACACTATCCACTTCTCCTCCTGATGGCGTAAAAATATATAGGTGAGAAGGTTAAGGTTTAACCTTAACTCACTAGTGAATTTTGTCCATTCTCCAAAAAGCTAACTTATAATTAAAAAGAAAAAAAAAACAAGATTCATTCTACTTCTCTTACTTAAATGAGAGCATGTCCCTGATTATGCTTTGCAGTCTAGAATCTCTGATAAAAGTTTTCATAGACTTATAGTTTTTAAGCAATAGACAGGTTTGGTCTAAGCAACCCTTACACTACCTGCTACCAACAATTTACTGATTATAACAGAGAGACATGAAAAGGTTAAGTGGCTTTTCCAAGGTCATGAGATGGAAGTCACAATTAAAATCCCAGTCTCTTGAGATTTAATGACATATTCTTTCTACTATAACATGCACTGTCTCTGTAAATTCAAAATATTATGCAATTAAATATGGCTAAGAATATGCAATTAAATGGCTAAGAATATATTTTGTAAGTAAAATATCCCTGTCAGATTGGGTTTATGCTGTCAGCATTGAATAAATATAATAAAAATAAGAATAAATGCTTATAGTGAGCTTACTATGTGCCAGGGACAGTTCATAGCACTTTACATATGCTATTCATTTGATATTCATAACACCAAATTTTAGATATTGCAATGATAATCATCCCACTTGACAGATGAGGAAACAGAGACCCAAAATAGTTAGGTGACTTGCCCACAGTTCTACAAGTAGGCAGCAGAGCCAGAATTCAGACTTTGGTATGTGTGTTCCTCACTGCTACACATATTCCCTCTCAAGCAGAGGGAGAACATCTTCATCCTGAAACTCACTCACATTATTTTTTTTCACCAGAGGATGAAGTGTTTCTATGTCCAATTCACATTAAGATTTAAATACCCTTATATTTAGTAGTATTGGTATGGTGGAGGTAGTGCCAATACAAGATGAGAAAGAAATAATGGCAGGGTACCTGTAATGATGTCTTTTAGATTTGACCATAGATTTGACCATGATCTCCAGATTTTTTCCTCTGAGAATGAGGTACCTAAAATTAAGCCTGTATTGTAAGTATTGCTCATAACCTCCCAAACTGGCACGATTAGTCAGGGGGAAAAAAGTCATGATGTTGAATATCTTTTCTCCTTGGCAAGATTCAGTTTAGTATTTTGCTAATATACCAAAGTGACTCAAAATTTTGCTTCAGAAGAAAACATTTGAGGCCAATGAGCCTTAGGTATTTTTGGAAATTTCCTTTCTGAAGGAAAAAAAAATCTGCCAAACCAAACATTTCATGAACTATTAAAGGCAGAACCGTGACCTATGCCTTAGGTGAATGGGAAGAATACAAAATCTTTTTTCTTCAATCAGGCAAGTGTCTATAATGATAATGAACTATACGGATGCAGGCATTTTGTATTCAGTCTTATCCGAGGTCAAACATTTGATTATTCTCATATTTCACGCTACTTTTGTAACCTTAAAACATTTATTGTGATAAAAATAAAACTGTCTGCTATCTTAAAATTACCAACACACCTATCAATGGAGAGTAACTGCTGTTAAGATCAGCTGTATCTACAGAAATGTGGTAGCCTGAAGGTGTTGGTGCCATTCAAGTCCAGCATGGCTCACAGAAACTCCTTTGTCTTTTCTCTTTCAGATTCACAATTTCCTATCAACATTGTGGCTGTCAAAAACGATCATGATTTTCTTGAAAAGGACCTTGTAGAACCTCTTTGCAGGTAAAGCATTTGAAGCATTTTTTTCCTTTCCATTGTTCACTCTCAGTACATACCATTATGTTGAGGGATGAGCTCAACAATTTAGTATTTGTTGAGTGCCCACTATGTGCCAGGCATGGATCCAGATTCTAAGCTTCAGAGAATTGATTAAGGAAAACAGAAAGTAAGTGAGAGGGAAAAAAGGAGAAGGAAATATTATCTTAGAGAGTATTATATTGCTATGAAAAAAATAAAACAAGATGAGAATGTAGAGAGCAACTACTATAGAATGTGGGTGGGTTAGTGAGAAGATGCAGCATGGGGAAGCCATAGCAAGTGTGGACAAGAAAGGCCCTGAAAATTTTCATGAGTATGTGAAACTTTACTGTAATTTTTGCAAAGTTGAGTGATTATATCAGCAAACTGGGTATGTACACTCAAGTGATTATTTCAGCTACCTGGAATATTTAAGCCTTTGCTGTGTGATAGATGCTATATGAATTTATAATCCATTTGGAGAAATCTAGTTGGAACAATGAAGCATGAGTCCATAAACAAATAAGTAACGGTGACAATTTGGATAATAGAAAAGATGCCCATGTAATTGATATGCCTGAACCATTAAATGGGCATGAGAGAGCTTGTATGTGTCTGTAGGAATTTGAAGTTTCCTAAATAAAGCCCTGGAGAGAGGTCAGAGCTGAAGATAAATATTAGTTACAGGAGATGAGTCATTTTTCCAAGGCCACACAGATAGTTACAAGCTGAAATGAGCTTTAAAAAAACACAGCACTTACAACTTACAGTTTAGTGTCCTCTCTAGTGTACTCAGCACTGGACATGGGGAAGATGGAAATGATAAATGGAGCAAAGGCATGATGAACAAAATTTAGTCTTGATAATAGAAACCAAAGTTAGTGTAGTATGTAAACAATCTTGCTGAATCTTCAGATATATGTTTTTATGTTCACAAATTGATCAGTCTTTGATTTCCATAAGAAAAGATAATAGATTTCCATTAACAAATAATCTCTGAGTGTTCAAGGAAAACAATATTGTAGATTTGGTTAAGTAGGTAGAAAAGCAAGAACTCTTCAAATTATAAATTACAGGAATGAACACTTGGACTAGAAAACAAAGTAGCACAGAATGCCATTTGTGGACATTTTGTGGGCACTTACAGAGGAATGGCATCTTGTTTGCAGTTCTTTAAAGGCAATGAATTGGAAAAGCAGTGTTTTCTCTCCAGCATATCTGAGTCACACCCCAACAGGAACAGGGCTGTCACTGCCCTCCTAGTGTTCATCTTGGAACTCTTCAAGCAGCACTTCTTCCTGAGTGTTCCCTCTTAGTTTTACCCAAGTATTTTTACTAGTTGGCATTTTTACATTTTTACTGTGTTATATTATCTTACCCTTTTTCCCCATTGAATTTTTAAAGCATATTTTTAAAATGGAGATTTTATACATATGCACACATAATAAAATTCACCATTTCAATGTAAAGTTTTATGAGTTTTGACAAATGTTTACAATCATCTAACCACCACCACAACCAAAATATAGAATAACTCCATTACCCCCAAATTTCCCTGGTTCCCCTTTGTCATCAATCTCTGCCTGTATTCCCTACCTAGTTTTTGTACCTATAATTTTGTCTTTTTCAGACTATAACATAAGTGTCCTTCCTTGAAGGACATTTATGTTGCTGTGTCTTAGAGGTTATAAAGCCACTTTAAGGATTCCTATTCACGTTTTTGTGTAAGCATTAAATTTTCGTTTCTTATGGATAAGATCCTAGGAATGGAATCCATATGATCTGTGTATTTTAATTTTATAAGAACTCACTAAATTTTTGCAAAATGACCCTACCATTTTGTATTCTAATAGTATCCAGTGTTACCTCATTGTGATTTTAATTTGTATGCCCTAAATGACTAATTATGCTGGATGTCTTTCCATGTGCTTATTTGACATGATAAATTTTCTTTGGTAAAAGTCTAAGTATTTTTGCCATTTCTTAATTGGGTTATTTGTTTTCTTATTATTGAATTTGAGGGTTCTTTATGTATTCTAGATGTAAGTACTTGGTCAGATATATGTTCTATAACTATTTTCTGCCAATCTGTACCTGTCTTTTCAAATTCTTTACAGTGCCTTTCACAGAAAAGAGTTTTAAATTTTACTGAAATCCAAATCTTAATTTTTTCACATTTTTAATATCACATCTAAGGAATTTTTGCCTAACATAAGCAACTATTTTCTTCTAGGAATTTCAATTTTATGTTTTACATTTAAGTCAACTTTCCATTTCAAGTTAATTTTTTTATAAGGTACAAAGTTTGGGTTGAAATTCTGAAATTCTTTTTTTTTTTTTTGCATCATCAGTGTCTCATTGTTTCAGCACCACATCAAAATGACTATACTTTCTTGAATTACCTTTATTCCTGTATCATAAATCAGCCATATATGTATGAGTCCTTTTCTAGATTCTTTATTATGTTGCCTTTATCTATGTGTCTACCCTTTCATCAATATTATACTTGGTTACTCAGCTTTATGTATTCTTAGAATCTAATAGTACATGTCATTCAACTTTGTTCTTCTTTGCCACATTGTTTTTAGCTATTCTAGTTCTTCTGCCTTTTCATATAAATTTTAGGAACATCTTGTCGATTCTATTTTAAAAATCTTGCTGGAGTATTGATTTGGGGTCTGTTGACTCTGTAGATCAGTTTGGAGAGAATTGAAATTTTAACAACATTGAGTTGTCTGATTCATAAACACCATATCTGTCTCTATTTATTTAGGTTTCCTTTGACTTTTTTTAATCCTGGCTTACAGTATTTAGCATATGGATATTACACATCCCTGAAAGTACTTTAAGAATTTCAGTTTTGTGATATTATTGTAAATAGTACTTTTTTATCATTTCGGCTTCCAATTGTTCATTCTTAGTGCATCTTGTTTTGTATATTGCGTCATATCTTGTCATCTTTCTAAATTCACTCATTACTTCTAGCCACTTTGTTATAGATTCTTAAAAATTTATTTTTTAAATGTAAATCAACAATTTTCTTGTACCCAAAATAAAAATTTTATTACACATATTAAAAGCATGATTGTAGAGGTAAACACTGTTTCTAAGTGTGTAGTTCTAGTCACAGGGTGACGTATGTAGCTTGTTATGCCAAGCTTTGAATCACAAACATATGAGTGATAAACCCTTATCTACTCATTGATGCATGTGATCTGAGGTGCCTTGAACTTTTCCATTAAATTCTACTATTTTCTTAAAGCAAGATGCCTTTAAGACATGTTATAGTGATCAGCCAGTGCAATAAATGTGACATCATTTAGAGATTTAAAATTCTGAATAAAAATAGTAAGATAAGCCAGAAAAATTACTGAGCCTCTGACCCATCTCTGACACAGCCCATAGTAGGATCCATACAGATATACTCTAAACTGAATTACTGCAAAAACATGGGAAGTGTAGCAATGCCAGATACCACAGTGTTCTTGGTAAGGATCCAGCTTGTGTAAAAATGGTCCTTGAGGCAGGAGGTTGTTATAATTGGAATAACTCTTATGACAGCCATGCCTCCAAAAATATTAAGTTAAAAAAAATGGCTGGACGTGTACAAGCTGAGGTTCTCTGGGCAAAGGAATGGTGGGTATATTAGAGGCCAAAGGAAAAGTTACAGTGGGGCAGTGGTGGGGGGAGGGAGTTAAAGGAAACAGGCCAAGTAGATAGGCAGAAACCAGGTAGTTTGGCTAAAGGGAACTGTGTGGAGTTTCTTTCCCTTCAGCATCATTGAAACCAAAACACAGTACTTTTCTTCCTTGCAAATAGTGGAATGGAGACAGACCAAATCCCTCTAGCCTGAGGGGAATGACAGCAGTTTTAAAATCTTGAGGTTGATAGGCAGTTAATTAGACACCAGCACACTCACTTGTGCGGTCTGTAATAACTGATGCCTGGAGAGCAGTAAGGGTTTGTGATTTTCTTATGCACTGCAGACTCGGTGATAGAGCTGGCCTCTTGTTTCGTTTTTAAAGTTTTGTGGGTATATGTTTCTCAGAGATATTCGAAATGCAAGGCAAATGCAGAATCCTGAAAAGAAATCATAGCCAGAGGGCAGGTAGTTTCCACCTAGTAGACAAAAAGAGAGCTGCTTTCCTGCAAATTTGTGACCCACAAGAATTTTACTCACCTTCGGTGTTCTAGAAGTGTGGCTCCTAGGTAGACAGACAATTATGTCCTAAGTCTCAGTTACACTTGGAGAGTTGTTGAACAGTGTTAACTTTTTGATTGACTTAGAAAAATATGTTGTACTGAGGATGTCACAGCAAGGAGGACCCAACCCTGGCCTGGATAGGTGGGTTGGCAGCTCTTATTTTCAGGTCTCCAACTGTCATTGCTGCAGGTGTGAACCAGAAAGGCAGTTGTGTCACAACTCTGACAGTGCAGGCAAACAGTTGGTGCTCTGTAAATATTTGTTACTGAAAGTCAGAATAGTGCTCTCTCTTTTATGTTAGCAGTCACAATTATAATTCGGTTTTGATGTTTTTTGATTCATTTTGTAATTGTTTTTGTGATTAAAAAATATTTTCCTGTAAGTAATGAAAGCTATTTGTAAAATTAAGTACCCTGATGAGTTCATTGAAACTATAACAGGATATTCACATAACCTAGGTGTCAAAAGAATTTGCAAGGTTTGTCACTTTTAAGATAACAGTAGCAAATCAAAACTCCTGAAAAAGATCTTTAAAAGGTATTATGGTCTATTACATTTTAGTTTGCAGAATTCACACAGAATGCTAATGTAGGGCCTTGATTCTCAAGCTTAACTCTGAATTTCTAATTTAATTTTAAGCTAGTAAACCATCTGCATAACTTGTTTTATTAATAAAGAATTATTAATTAAACAAAATGATTTACCTAGCTCAGCACTGTTAAGTAAAGATATGGAATGGCTAGGATTATTTACCTATCAGCCTTTTGTATGTAAAAGGATA